TGCTTAGTTTATGTTAAATTAATCAACTGTATATGTTTTAATTTAATCTGTAACTGTTCTTGCAAGTTGAGTTTGTGTCTGTTTTTAAGTATAATGAATCGGTGGTTTTTCTAATTGTTATTATTAGTTCCTACTGTTGTAAACAAATGAGTGGGATGTTATTGGGTATAAATTATACTCTTAGGTTCAGTATTAATGAGGAACAAAAGGGTTGGAAGTGGCCGGAGAGGAGGCAGACGGTCAGAAACGGATCAAGAACGGATCATAGCTCTAAGAGAGAGAGAGAGCCAGCTCCGTAGAAGAGGGAGCCGGCTCCCTCAAGTGCAGAGCCAGCTCTAAGGGATTTAGAGCCGGCTCCCACCCCTCTAGAGCCTGCTCCAAGGTGCATGGAGCCAGCTCCATGCATGGACAGAGCCTGCTCTGTGGTTTTGAGAGCAGGCTCCCTTGTTTTGACGCGTTCTGGAATGGTTTTGGGCACTGTTTTGACAATTTGGGTTTTTCTGAACTGTTTGGAATATTAATATGGGTTCTATATATTAAATCAAAGTTAATAAAACCCTAAGAGGCATAATTTATCTCTATATGCTAATGGATTTCACAGTGTGGAGGTTTAAGCAATGTTACACACTGTTGACAAATATAAAGTATTTAGTTGCTTAAACTTATTGTAGCAACTTAGATGACTGGAGTATGATTTTTAAAGTTGTTTTGGATGCATAATAGGGTCTTATACATATTAGATTTTGTTATGTTTCTCCTGGATTTTAATTGAGGAATTATTAAATTATATTCTGTCGATTACATGGAATTAGGTGTTGGATTTTAATTGCTGAATTATTATATTATATTCTATCAATCACATAGAAGTTAACCTGGATTTTAATTGAGGAATTATTAAATTATATTCTGTCGATTACATGGAATTATGTGTTGGGTCTTTAATTGCTGAATTATTATATTAAATTCTGTCAATTATATGAATGTCATGGATGGTATGCACCGGTATGGGACGGTGGCATACTAGGGATGGTTTAGCTCAGAACGCTAAGACCTACCCCATTGGAATAAAGGAATGGATTGTAAGAATTGAATCCTACTTATATTTGGATCAGATCAACTGAGTAAATTGAGTGACTACATGGATTAATTGTTATTTGTAGTTAAGTCAGATCAACTAAATAAGTTGAGTGACTAACTGGATTATAAATATTATGTCAGATCAACAAAGAACTGGATGACATACTCTGATTTTGGACGGACTTTAAATATATGAATATGGTACCACGATATGAGCTTGAGTCTCATAGTCGATGGTTAGGGCGCGTATATGCAGTGGATGTGTAGCTGGCTATGATAGGTTGAGGTGTACCCTGTTAAGCTTAGGTACTCATGCCCACTCAGGTGCGCTTTGCATGTTGCCTTCTATTCAGGTTGAGACCCCCTTTGTAATTCAGTGAATGTCCCTTAGTGTGGATTTATATATATTTATGGACTAGATAGATATTATGAGATATCTATGATGTATTTGCATATCGGGTCACTGTATGGATTGCAGTTAGAATAGAACTTATTCGTGGGCCTGACCCACTCTTATATTTTTCAGGACCGGACGGTTCCAGCCTTCGAGCTTGATTGTGCTTATCGGAGACAGTCACTTATTCATCTGTTTACGTAGGACTTCTCTCTATGTTTTAGTTTGGGATATTATTTTCAGTTATTCAGTTTCAGTTGGGATTTTGTTTAAGGGGTCCATTAGATGGATTCCCGAGTTGTACTCTTGGAGGATTTGGAGAGTTAGATTAATTTTATTCATTATCATTTTGAAAATTTTAAATTAGTAATTCCTTCAGCTTTGTTATTTATTCTTTAATTCATTTTGTATTCCTGCTTGTTTATATATTAATTGTTTGATAATCCCTTGGGTTTGGGCTTGGGCCTGATCAACCCATGTTTTGGAGTCGAGGGGTATCACACTTTCCGAACAATACTACTGAATAAGCCCTTTTCTTCCACACTTATAGCATATTTTCTCTGACAATGGCACAATATTTCTTGAAGCTCCGAATCTCTTCTTCTCTTGAGCAATAAGAGCTTGAGCTTGAGCCTGAGCATGACTCTTCATTATTTAACCTTTCATTAGAGAACAAAACACTCTTAACTTGTTCCCTTTGAGATTGTATCTCTCCCATAAAACAAAGTATTGAATAAATACTTATGGGTAGAGCGTACTGATGTTAACAAAATAATTATTTTATCCTCATCACTTAACTTGACATCAACATTATATAAATCACAAATAATTTTGTTGAACTCACGAAGATGTTCTTGTAGGCTTGTCCATTCTTTTCTCCTAAAGGAATATAACTCTTGCTTCAAGACTAACTGGTTGGTGAGATTCTTTCCCATATACAGATTCTCCAACTTCTACCACATGTCCGTTGTTGAATCTTCTTCTATCACATCATACACAATATCATCCCGCAACATCAATCGAATCACACTCATTGCCTTCGAGTTGATCTTTTACCAATCTATATCTTTCATATTTTCCGGTTTCTTACCTAAAGCTTCTCCTAGCCCTTACTGAATCAGTATATCTCGTATCCGAACTTGCCAAGATTGAAGTTCATTCTTCCATTAAATTTCTCGATCACATACTTTATTTCTGTAATAGTTGCCACCATGGCTCTGATACCACTTGTTAGGATTTCACACACAATTGGCAAATAAAACAGATAAAAGCGCACACACTAATAAAACAATATTTATGTGGTTTGGTAAATTGCCTACATCTACGGGCAAAGAACGACTATCTCTACTTCAAATTTTGTTCACATATTGTTTCTCTTTTCACAAACTCAACTTACTTTTTCTCTCTCTACAATTATTTTTTTTCTCTCTCTATCAAAACCCGTCTCTATTTATAGAATTTTCAAAACTTAATTCTTTATTGGATAAGACTTGCCTATAAGGAGTTATCAAATCAATCTCAACTATAAAATAGAAATGAGACACAAATTCTTTTACATATTTCAGTCTTTCAAAATAGAAAAGAAACTACTTTATGCAATTTTGAGCCATGAACCCAACATATAGGAATAAGGCAATGATGATGATAATTGATGAAAAAGCACATAGTTTTAATTGCCACCAAAAATTAATTTTATTTAAAAATATTTAACAAGTTATTTAAATTCAACCAATTATAATAAAAATTAATATTAAAACAAACCAATAAAAAAGGGTGTATTCATGTACAATTAATGAATTATTTTATAAATATGTAATTTTAAGAATTGAAGTTAATTTTATGTAAATATAAGACTGATATATGTATATAAAAGTGCATCAAGATAGTATGAATTCGGGAACACAAATACATTACGGTGTATAAATACTATCAAGCTCTACACTTCAAATCAGTAATATATAATAATTTTTTAAATCTTTGCAAATTAACCGTGTATATTCCTAAAATTAATTAGAGTTAGCTTTGAAATTGCAACAGTGACCTGCATTAATTTTAGCTTTGAAATTGTAATAGTGACGGCGCACGATAGCGCATGAAAACGCTCTAAGATTTGAGTGCCTTCCAAGCATTTATAGATGTCATCCTTTTTCTTTTTCTTTTCCTTTTTTTTTTTTTTTTTTTTTTTGTTTTTGCGGTTTGGATCCCAAATCACATGATACATGTGTTAGAAATCATTTTGATTTGGTAAGTTGAATAAATATAGTGGGTTGGTTTATAATCATGAGAAAATTACATATAAATGGAGTCAAAGTTTCATATTTACTTAGAGGCTGGGTCAAAGTTCCATATTTCTCTAAAATGGATTGCTGAGGTGGCACATGGTTTTTTACTGTTTAGAAAATTGTGATGCCTAAAATGCCCTTCCCTAACAAAAAAGTAGTACCTTCAGTGCAAAAAAGTAGTACCTTCAGTTCAAAAAAGTAGTACCTTCGGAGAAAAAGTAGTACCTTCGTGGGTGTTTAAAAAACATGGTACCTGGACGCCAAAAAGTAGTACCTTCAGTTCAAAAAAGTAGTACCTTCGAAGAAAAAGTAGTACCTTCGCGGAAGGGTATTTTAGGTACCACAATTTCTAAACAGTAAAAAACCATGTGCCACCTCAGCAATTCATTTTAGAGAAATATGGAACTTTGACTCAGCCTCTAAGTAAATATGGAACTTTGACTCCATTTATATGTAATTTTCCCTATAATCATAACTGAGTAATGATGTGTACCCTTTACTGCCTTTGAAATCAAAAAATAAATTCCGGCAAAAAAATAATAATAATAATCAAAAATTAATATAATAATAATAATAATAATAGTTCTGTGGGTAACATTTTTTCATGTTTGATATCGTACTTAAAATTCAAATTTATATTTAAAAATTTTGAAAAAGCATTTTTATCCGTGCGTTGTAATAATAAATAATAATAATAAAGGTTAATATAATTTACTCTTTCTAATTTTTAATAATAATAAAGGTTAATGTAATTTACCTTTTTTAATTTTTACTTTTGCTATATTTGGGTGCGCCTACATCAAATTGAGATTTGGATTTAAGATTAAAAAAAAAATTAGTACAAATTTTAAACTAAAAATATATATATATAATTATTCCAATCCCATATTTAAATTATCAATTCAATACTTTCAAACATAACATTTACTAAATATTTGAAACAAATGTCATTACGCTTTGTTTACATCATTTCTTTTTGTGTGCGTATCTACCCACCCCTAAAAAATAGTAGTAACTTTTTTATAAAATAAAAAAATAAAAAATTTATGCCAGCGCAACTACTAATCATTCATGACGTTTTTTAACCACCTATAGTTTGGGGAAAATATCAAATAAAAAACACATAGTACAGTGTCTAAACACACAGAAGAGAGAGAGTGATAGCCCTGGAATAATTGAGGGGAACGAGGCCTAGCTGGAGGCTGTGTGATGGGACCAGACTTGACATTTAGCCCTATAAAGTGTCTTCTTACCTTCTCTGTCGTTGGAAGAAAGAGAGAGACAGACACCATGGAGAATACTGAGAAACTGGCTCCAAGTAATGAGCCCAAGTACAGAGGAATTAGAGCCATGCCATATGTCATAGGTAAGTGCACAAATGCAAACCCTTGTTCAAGTACATCATCACCGTCTTCTTCTTCTTCTTCTTCTTCATATATATATATATATTTTCTGATCACTTATATATATATATATATATATATATATATATATATATATATATTGTGATCGCCCTTGTTCAAGTACATCATCACCATCATCTTCTTCTTCTTCTTCATGTATATATATATATTGTGATCACCCATAAAAAAATAAACTTGCAGGGAATGAGACCTTTGAGAAGCTGGGAACTATTGGGACCTCCTCTAACCTCTTGATCTATCTCACCACTGTCTTCCACATGAACGCCATTACAGCAACTAATCTTGTCAACATCTTCAATGGAACTTGCAACTTCGGTACTCTGATCGGAGCTTACCTCTCCGACACTTACTTTGGCCGTTACAAAACCTTGGGATTTGCTTCAGTGTCCTCTTTCTTGGTACGAATACTCTACAACCCACAAACTTCTATATATATATATATCTTCATATTTATGTAGCAGTCTAGTTACAAACACTGTTTCTAAATTGTTACTACAAAAATGAACTTTTGCTTCTTGCTTGTATACATGTATGGAGGTTTTTTTTTAATTTTTTCAACAGAAGGGCAAGTCTACGATGAAGGCACTGTCACCGTGAGCTCGTGTTCTCATTGAATGACAGTCGTAGTTCATTCCATTGGCTACGAGCTCACATGAGGGGCTTTCATCATAGATTTTATGCATATAGACGTGAGTCATGTTTTTTTTTTTCTTTTCGAGAAGAGCAAGGCTATGACGAAGATACTCTCACTGTGAGCTCGTGTTCTCATTGAATGACAGTAATAGTGCATTCTATCGGACCACGAGCTCACATCATGATGCGCTCTCATCATAGCTTTTATACATATATGTATAGCTGAATCACATTAAATTTGTATATTGTGGATGTTTTGGCTTTTTTTTTTTTTTTTTTTTTTCAAAATTTAAGCTTCTTGGAAGAGCAAGTATATGATAAACGCACTCTCACCATGAGCTTGTGTATATCTGCCCATGAGCTCACACGAGGGGCTCTTAGGGCAGCTGATATAACAATAGCTATTCCAGCTAGCAATGCTGATGTGAACTGCTACAGTATATTGCTACCAGTTGTTCACTGTACGAGTTAATTATTAATTATTTTTTTATTATTTCTTTTGTATTTTTTTATATATTTAATATTTTGAGTAAAAAATTTTAAAAACATATTTATTTTTTTGTTTGTTTGTATTTTTTTAAACCGTTATTTTTTCAACCACTTTGAATTTTTTTTTTTTTTTTTTTTTTGAACCGAATAATTTTTTTAATAAATTTAAATTAACATATATTTTCATTATTAAATAAATAAAGAAATTACATATTTTTTTCACAATTATATAAATAAAATAAAAATACATTACATATTTTTTCACAATTACATAAATAAAATAAAATAATTTGTAAGTCCAGTTTTACTCGCAATAGGTATGTTATCCGTACCAATTGCCCTTGGTATTCTTCGCATGCGTGAGGGCCAAACAATAGACTAACCCCTAACTTTTCAGCTGGCAAAATAAGCACTACGCCGGGTTGGTCTTATTGCTTTTTGTTTCTTAAAAAATAACGACAAAAAGGTTATGATTCCATGGAGAAACACAGGTGGAAAGAGTTGATCATCAATCAACACTGGAAAAGGAAAAGAGAGAGAGAGAATCTCTCAGTAAACAAATGGGGACCAAACCAGCAATCCATCAATTTCGCATGCTGCTGCATGTGGTAGCGTGGAACCCAGGCACCACTCAACATTGGATCAGTGGGTGGAATTTTTGTAATTCTATTTTATACATTAAATTTTTTAAAATTTATAAAGATGTCACTACTAAAATTATAATTCGCTCCCAATAATTTCTTTTAACTTCAAATGTTTAAGAATTTGTGAAGATGACCTGCTAAAATTACAATTCGCCCCCACTAAATTTTTTTTTTTTTTTTTTTGCATTTTATACTTTAAATTTTTGATAATTTATGAAAAAAAAAAAAAAAATTACAAAATTGGACCCAACATGTAAGTTTGCCCCCATAAATTAAAAGGTCACTCCCTCTCACAAAATTTTCTGAATCCCTCACTGTCACTGGTGGAATCTAAACTTTATAATTAGAATTGGAAGAAAAATAACTTAACATTTGTTTATAAATTAGCTGACACTTTTGTTTCACCTAAAAGAGGTTTTTGCTAACAAGGGATGTTAGAAGGGAAAGATTGAAGTCGTGTTTTTGCACAAATTTTTTTTTTTTTTTTTTTTTTTGGTTAGAATTTACACAAAATGTTTGCTTTTAAACATTTTCTTCGAAAGTTTAAGCAAACACACACACCCCCACAATAATATTCCTAATAGGATTCAAACACTTTTTTTTACAAATGTACCTCTACTTTTTGTTAAAATCTTAAAAGTGCCCCCACTAAGTTTTTTGTAATACCCCATTATATATTCTTGTTCTTCAAGGACACCCTCTCCAATACAACTAGACTCATCATCATCATCAATTTTGCCATTATACCATATGAATGGATCGGCATCATGCGCTAATGCCATTAATATCTGTTATCAAACTTGAATTTGCAAGATCATCAGATTCTAAAATTTTCCAAACTTCTGATTGCAGGGGATGCTTGTACTAACACTAACAGCAGCAATCTCAAAGCTGCATCCTCCTCACTGTGGAACAGATGAGACTAGCTCATGCAAAGGGCCAACAGCAGGGCAAATGACATTTCTGTTGGGTGGGTTTGGACTGCTAATTGTTGGTTCTGGTGGTATTAGACCATGTAACTTGGCCTTTGGTGCAGACCAATTCAATCCCAATACTGCGTCTGGGAAGAGGGCAATCAGCAGCTTCTTCAATTGGTACTACTTCACCTACACTTTCGCGGTGATGGCGTCTTTAACAGCCATCGTCTACGTGCAATCCAACGTGAGCTGGTCTCTGGGGATGGCAATTCCTACCTTGATGATGTTCTTGTCATGTTCACTCTTCTTCATGGGTACAAGAATGTATGTGAGAGTGAAGCCCCAGGGAAGTCCCTTCACAGGCATCATGCAGGTTGTCGTGGCCACGATCAAGAAGAGGCGACTGAAGCTGCCTGAGCAGCCATGGTTCTCCCTTTTTAACCATATTCCAATCAATTTTATCAATGCAAAGCTTCCTTACTCTGATCAATTCAGGTAGCTAACCCTAACTTTTCATAACTTTTACTTATTATAATTATTTTGCCATTTTGCTCTATATTCATCATGTCTTTTGCCATTAGATTGTGTGACATCAAATAGAATTTGAGGGAAATTTCATTCACTTTCCTATTAGGGTTCCTAGTACAAGATTAGTCATTTCACCACTTTGACCTTCCCACTTTCATTTGCTAGGAGCTGGTTTCCACTTTGGAATGATTTTTGGTGATTTTATTCAAACGGTTTTCGAATCCTGTTTTGTCATAGTCCCTATTCTGGGGGGATTTTTGGTGATTTTATTCAAACAGTTTTCCGAATCTTTTTTTGTCAGAGTCCCTATTCTGAGTCGTGACAAATTTAAATGGACTATAGATTTATATTTGGAATGATTTTTGGTGGTTTTATTCCGACGGTTTTTTGAATCTTGTTTTGTTAGAGCCCTTATTTCGTGTCATGACAAATTTGTACTCGATGATTGATCAAAATTATACTTAATTTTTCAGGGTTCTCAACAAAGCAGCAGTCAAAACCCCCAAAGATGAAATCAAGTCAGATGGGTCAGCAGCCAACCCTTGGAGACTCTCTAGCATCCAGCAAGTGGAAGAAGTGAAGTGCTTGATGAGACTGATTCCTATATGGATCTCAGGCATAATCTACAGCATAATTATAGTCCAACAGCAAAACTATACAGTCTTCCAAGCCCTCCAATCCGATAGACGCCTTGGCAACATCAGCTTCAAAATCCCAGCAGCCTCGTATGTCGTCTTCCAAATGTTGAGCCTCACTATCTGGATTCCTGTCTACGACAGACTCATGGTTCCGTTTCTCAGAAGGCGCACAGGAAAGGAAGCTGGCATTACACTCCTTCAGAAGATGGGTATTGGCTTGGTTCTCTCTGTGATCACCATGCTTGTATCTGCGATAGTGGAAGAGCGAAGGAGGACCTTGGCTCTTACTAAGCCAACATTAGGGTATGAGCCAAGAAAAGGTGCCATTTCTTCCATGTCAGGGTTGTGGTTTATACCTCAGCTGGCACTAACAGGACTTTCTGAAGCATTTGCCTTCATTGGCGAAAACGAATTGTTCTACAGGCAGGTCCCTGAGAACATGAGAAGCATCGGAGCATCTTTTGTGTTCTGTGGCGTGGCGTTCTCGAATTATTTGAGTAGCTTATTGGTGTCGATAGTTCACCAGACGACAGATTGGTTGCCGGAAGATCTTAACAAGGGGAGATTGGATTACTTTTACTATCTTGTTGGTGGTTTGGAGGCCTTAAATTTGGTGTACTTTCTAGTGTGTGCAAAGTGGTACAAGTACAAAGAGATTGGTAGTGACACCCTTGATGTGCCTATGGAAGAAATGCAATCTGAAAAACCAGTTGTTTGATATGCAGATTTAGAAGATTTCATATTTGACAGAAGTGTGAGAAGTTTTAAAAGGGATCACTTTCCAACTTTCTCATACCAAATAATACTATAAAAGTGTACGATCACTTGAGATAAATGATCCAAACATCTATCATTATATGTCATTGTGATACCTTTTATTTTTATTTTTTTGGGTAATGTGGAACTCTTGCTCGGTACACGAGATTGTAAGGGTAAATCTTGGATATGTGCAATCACTGCAAACCAGATTTAGATGATTTAAGTTTCCTTATGGTGAACCCAAATGCGACTTAAACTTTCAACCGGTTTTGAGGCTCTGAAGCGTCATACTGTATGATCCCTATACAACTGTTTTGAGTTTTCTACTTGTACAAGCCTTTAAACCATTGGCTCAATGGAAGATCAGAAAGAAAATGTTAGAAATTCTATTGGGTATCATTTGCCTATTCATTACCTAGAGGATTATTTAAAACAAAATGCATAAGAAGATGAAATTCTAAATGAGCTAAGTTTGTGAACTCAACCAGCGTACTTATAGTAGATAAGAAGCTCTAGAAAGATCAAAATGGGCTAAACAAGTGAACAAAACCAATTTAATGTTTCTAAAAGTTTGATCCACACAAACTAAGTCGTAGTATTTCTTCTTCTTTTTTTAAAAAAATAAGGTTAAGCAAACACACACCCATGCCTTCACTGAGGATCGAACTCCCGATTTATTCAGTGAGAAGGAGGACTTATACCAGCTGGGCAATTGCCCATTACGCAAGTCATAGTATGTCCTTAACCAGAGAACATTCTACTCCTATGAACCTTTAGATAAGCATACATATATACTTAATTTACATGCAACTCTTACAGGTCTAATCTTTTTATGTAAAAGAATATATATAAATGAAAAGGCATGCTGAGGCATAAAACAAGGGAAAAAATTCCTCTCCGGTGACTTTCCTCTTGATCTCACTGAGTAAAACTGTTACAATGAATGGTAACTCGCGTTACAATAATGGTAAAGCAAATACCATAACTCGTGGTGTACCAATATTCAGTGGTGTACCATAACTCGTGGTGTACCAATATTCAGTGGTGTACGATATATGCTTTACCATTCTTGTACCAAGGTTTCCATTAACTCATCTGACACACTATGTGGTTTCTTTTAAAATTTTTTACTTTTTCACCTTAGCTATTCCTTGATATATTTTGAACCACATGCAGATTCTTATGTCTGCAAAGAAACTGTAAGCACTCCAGATTTGTGAAGGTGTTAGTGACCTTGTGGTCCTGCAAAGAGTTCAGACTCGTACTTCTGGACACACACATACAAAGAGATGATCAGCTTTATATGAGCTAGTTACTGCACTCATGCCTCACCTGAAGTATTTAATGCTAGTAGTAGTGGAGTTGTGGGCCGAATTTTGTTTCTGACCCGGTTTTGACCCGACAATGAGCTTTGGGTTTGATCAAAAATATCTTTTACCCATTTCCTCTTGCGAACAGTGGACCCACATGGGCCACATCTAAGTATCAACTATAACAGAGTATACAAGGGTGCTAAAGTTTTTGGTGTGGCCTGTAGGTATGAGAACTGCAAGCCGAAATCGAGAGTAAGAGAAAGGGTTGACTACTTGAAACTTGTAATCTTCTTGTTTTATTGGCACAGTGAAATCTCTTCGCTGATCTTTATCATAGACGTAAACTATACGCCAAACCACGTAAATCTGTGTATCGTGTGGTGCATGGTTTATTTTCTGTTGTTTTCTTGATTGTGTGTTTTTGGTTTCAGGGTGTTCGTCATAACACTTTTCATTCGTGCCTCATTAACATATTAAAATAAAACAAAAAGCCCAATTTCAAAACCTCATATTGAGTCCTATTTGGGGGAAACCCTGACAGAGGGAGAAAAACAGCTTTCAAGCTACAGGCAAGGGTCATGGAATCGAAAAGAATCTTGACTATCGCCCAAAGCCCACAATGGGCGACCGACGCTAGCCTTCGCTTTACCAATTAGCCCGGGTCAGCACCTCAAGAACAAAGCTGGAGAAACCACTACGAAAGCATCGAGAGGAACCGCCCCGTGATAGGGCTGGAAAGTGACGTAAAACGAAGAAGAATTGGCATTTATTGGTAGTCCCTAGACAAGTTTAGGGCAGGTTATAGTGATCACAATCCATATTTTTCACTCTGCGCCAGCAAAACATGAGAGACCTTCGAGTAATACTCTACCTAACCGTCCAAAGGCGTTGGTCAGCACTACATGAACAACTTGAGAGCATATATCATTCCTGACCATGAATTACGCACCATACAAGTGATTAGCGAAACCACATATAATACAAGTTAGCTAGCACAAATGTTTTCATGGCCCGTGACATCGCCAAATTGAAAACCACTTGTAAACTGTTCAAAATGATAATGTCAGCAGATTTATCAGCCAAATTGTAATCAAAATATTGGATGACCAAATCAACCCCCAAATGGAACAGCAACCAATTCATTGGCACTTTGCAGTATGAAGAATCCCTATCTCTCATGTCTTAGCAGCATCTTATTGTGTCTTCTCCATTCTATGTTTCTCACTCTCTTTTTTTTTCCTAGTTGGTACTCACACACACATGCTTCCACTGAGGTTCGAACCCCTGAGCTCCCTTTGACAGGTAGGGGCCTGGTACCGCTAGGCCACAGGCCTGTTGGTATATGTTTCTCACTCTCTAGATACATATTTATGACAAAAACCTAGTCCCATCACTCCAAATCATGGTTCGCAATATCAATTACGGTCGTGGTATCGGTTGCGGTGTAATGGACTCGCCGATATGGGTCATGTATCGGACTTGAAAAAGATACGTTACGTATCGGCCGATACGTCGCATATCGGACGATACAGCGAACCATGCTCCAAATACTCTGAGGAAATGAAGGCAGCAAAGAGTATGCATCAACAGTCCTCTCTGCTGTCACAGTACTCATATATGGCTTGGTCGAGAAGAACATAATAACTTGGCTCTTACTAAGACAACACTAGGAATGGAACAGAGGGGATATGGCATTTCAACTAATGTCACCTCTACAATTGACTCCTCAGCTCAAACTTGCCAGACTTGCCGAGTCATTTACTGCCAAGTTGAATTCTACTACAAGTAATTCCTAGAGAACATGAGAAGCACAGCCGGATCCTACTATTCTGTGACATAGCAGAGTCAAGTAATGCTGTCTGAGTAGTTTCTTGGTGCCTATACTTCACCTAATAACATAAGGACCTATTATCCGAAATTGATCGTCAGAAGATCATAACAAAGGGATATTAAATTGTTTCCGTTACTTGGTAGCTGCTCTTGGATTCATAGATTTCAGGCTAATTTCTAGTTTGCGCCAAGTGGTACAAAAAAAGGGATCCAAGTCAATACCGTTACAGCAAAAATGGAAGAGGAATAACTAGACAAGCCTCTTGCTTGATTCTTGACATGTCATAATTGTATTATAAGCCTATACTTGCAACCTGCATTTCATGTTTGAACAGCATTATAAATGGTTGATGCGCAATTGAGTCCTGGAGTGTCTACAACCATGTTCTGCTGTTGATTATTACAGAAACATCCAAGTCATGTCAAATATGCACAGAACTATTGACATACAAATTTTCATATTTTGTCACTCCAGATTTTTGGTAAGTTAATTCCTACTGGCCATGGATAAAGCAGAGGATATCAAAGGAGACGATAGACAGGGTCCCTCTTCCTTAACTTCAAACTAATGCTTAAATTTGAAACTATAAAGTATAATACTGTGATCTTCATCCATTGCTTACTACAACACTAAAAGGGTTGGGTTTCCAAGAGTTGAGCGTTCAGATCTTAGGGTAGTCATTTTGTTTAAACAATATTAAAGATCAAAGTTACATCTAGTCTACTCCATCCAACACCCTGGATAATGCCCTTGTTCTAATTCTAATTTCAAATAATGTCCAAGATCAACCAGCCTTTGTTCAATAACACTGATCATACACAAATCTAAAGGCAACCAATTTTTTTTTTTTGAAGCAACTCTATTAAAAATTTGATAGAAAATTAATCCCAATAATCTCAGGTAAGGAAGCATAAACAGTTCTTCAAACACAACCTGATCTTTCTGGAATTTCAAGGAATTTTTTTCTTCTTTTACCTTTCATTGCAGAATGGGTTTCTCAACACTTTTGTACACTTTGTTTAGATCTCTAAAAGCTAGGTTCTTTAAATCAACTCTTCCTATAAATGCATCATCTTTTGCAGATCCCTGATCATCTCCCAACTGTCTCTCTATATCATAATTTACACAGTTTCCTGGATTGCACTTTTTATTCAATTCCCCAAGCCATCCCCAATTTACTTTGAACCCGATGGATGTAGCACCGAATTCTACAACTGCACCCTTGATATCACATGACAATGAGATTGCCATTGCTGCAGATATCGACAAAATGTTGTCTCTGCAATGTCAAGCCTGTGACATGCTAGGCAAATTGGTAGTGAGTACTGTCAAAACACCAAGCACTTAAGAATCCAAGCCTTGGAAGAGATGTTTAGAAGCAATAAATTTCTCTGCTTTATTAGAACTAATAAAATCAGAAGGACAAACAAGGCCTAAAATAATAAAAATACCACCAAGTTTTGCTTCTCGTACACTTTCAATGACATAATTTATTAGCTGAACTAGGAAGAGTCAAAATAATAGGAAAGATTAAAGGACCAAAAGACCAGAACATCTCATAAATTGAAAAGTGCTTACCAATTTGGGTATTGCAAGGATATGTGAGGCAATACATGTGACAAAAAAAACCACACATTTACGAGCCTAGAAAAGCATCCCAATATATGAAAGTGAAAAGCACAGAAAAACTAATTTCAATGGTCATTTCAAGGGTAACTCACAATTACATGCTGATTATACGCCTCTCATCTCAGCACTAGTGAATTACATCTCACATATTTGTCTCCTCAGACTGTGTAGGCTTGCTGAATTGTGTCTATGTCGAGACCCTTCAATCTTACCACCGATTCTACATGACCTTTAAGTGTGTGTAATTCTCTCAACCTGCAAAAAGACACGCAAAAAGAACGCATCAGGAAAATATGTTTCTGATTCATATATGCCAACAAAAGTTAAACAACGGGTATAACCAAACCCCACTAATGCAAAAGGTATATGGTAATATAGTCTTAGTGGTGTAAACAAAGTTGGGACAAACCAAATCCTCTAGTGAACGAGAACTACAATAACAGATCTAACTTAATTTGGATGACCAAACAGACCAAAGCAATGACCTTATTAGTCAAGCAAAAGGATCGAAATCCATTGAACATTTTTAATCCATATCCGAATGACTATAGGTGATATCTGAGTTAGGTCTACTAATATCACTATAAAGGCATAAAAAAACCACTAGTCCGCTAATCAGAATGAAACAACAGCTTGCTAAGATCAGTCCATACCTTGCAATTTCAGCTCTCCTTTTGGCTTCCTCTGCCATCTGATTAAGCTCAGTGAAATTGGTTCTGTCACTGAACATTTTGGTGTCGGGTACTTGCAGACCATGAAGAGTTCTTTGAGCATGCGCCCACTTAAGTTCACGTTGTTCCTTCCCGAAATCCTTTTGCCTGGTGAAAGCAATCTGTAAAACAAAGAAATCTATTAGAAGGAAAGAATAATAAATAAATAAGTATTTTCTGGGGGGGTTGTTGTTGAGTGGGGTTGCAAAATAAAACAAAATATTTCAGCAGCAACAAAACCATCAAATTGTCATGCAAATCAGTACCCTTTTCTCAATAACAAGATCCCAGGCCCTCCCGCTAAGAGCATAGCGGATAAGGAACTTTATGATATCAAGCGGGATGTAGAAGATGATATTATACAGCCAAATCACACCAGCCCAACCCCATCCAATTCCTTCAATTGCAGCAAAGCTCCAACTTGCATAAACCGCAATCAAAGTAGCAATCTGCTCATAACAGAAGATAGAGATTAAGTGGCTATTCAGGGATGGGAGAGTAGAAAAATAAAAATAAAAAATGATGAAGAATAAGGTTCTCTTTATCACTTAAAAGGAATTCACTCTTGCAGTTGACTCACCAATTGGGCAACCAAAAAAGCAACCACAAGCAACATGCCGGGACGCTCAACATAGGACCAACTCCGAGATCGTGTAACAAATATGAGAGCCTGACTAATGGTGCTCACTTGAAGGTACACAGCTGAAGCAAGCTTTCTGAAATCATCATGAGCTGTTTTCTCAAGAGATGACACCCCAAATACCCGCTGACAAATTAACCAAGAAAGTATGACAACTAAAAACTAATTCATCACAAATACTGAACGCATAAAGCAAGTAATGCATGCGATAAGCAGAGTAAATTCAAGAATAGACAACAAAAACAGAAGAGAGAACAAGTCCAACCAGCACATAGATTTATACCATCTGTGTGACAAGTCTTAACAAGTACACATGCAAATGCATACACCAACATGAAATTATTAATTCTCCATGGACGACTACCAGATGAAGGTTTTAGTAATCCCATTCTGTAAACCACGTGTTGCGTGAAATTTCTCAATATAGAAACAGACACGAATAATTTAGTGGAACCAAATTGACAACTAAACAAAATTCTAATAATAAAAAATTATTTCAGAAGGCATGTACAAAATTAGGTTCATCTTCCATGAATAGATACATGACTTAAACGAAGGCAAGCCTGCTTACCGGGAAGAAGTTTGTTTTGTATGCTGCCCAAAAGAATATGACCGTCATCATTGCCAGGTAACTACCAAGAACTATGCCAGTTGTGAAAATCTCAGCCAGCTTCCAGCTGTCTGGCAGAGGAGATGGTTTCACCCTATCCTTCGATATTGTCATAATGGTACCTGAGATGTCACAAGTGGTAGAGAGATGCAAAGGAAAGAACCTAGTAAGTTGTTTAGGAAACCCAACAGCAGACTAATAAATGATCTCAGTACGATGGGAAAAAATATTGTGGATGGGATTTTAGTAATGTCACTAAGATAAATAGGAAAATGGGCAGACTATCTATTTAACTCTTTCCAATATAAACTCCTTAGATCAGTTCATGCCTCAGTAATCACAGAATTGTTTCTTAAAAGTACAAGATCAGATACATGTATATACACGTAAGTGAGACAGAGAGAGAAAGAGGGAGACAGGAGAAGAAAGAACAAACCATCGTTGAGGATTGCAATGATGAGCACCATAAAGGGTGGAAAGTCGAACTTCCATATCAGGGCCAGCAGCATGAAACCAAGCTGTCTCAATCAGAAACATACAGAATATGGTGAAAGAATTTAAGAAGACATATAAATATTGTGATCAGCAGACACCATCTACTAAACAAAAACCTCCCAAAAAACCCACAATAGAACATACCACAATACGGATTGTAATAGAAACAGCATAAATCTGCAAAAAAAATAAATAAATGAATGAATAAGTTGGTGAGCTTGCAAAGATGCTAGCAATGAGGGTGCATGATCTCATACACAGTAGAAATAAAATTTTCCCAAAAAGAAGGGCTTAGTAAAAAGTGAACCTTTGGCAATAAAGCAAGTCTTTAAGACCACTGCATTTCATAAGAACCAAGGCTTACCGTGTAATTTTTCATCCTCTGGAAGATTGCCCGACTAGTCAAAACAGCACTAATGATAACACTAAGACCGGGTTCAGTAAGGACAATGTCAGAAGCACTACGAGCTGCATCAGTTGCATCATCAACAGCAATTCCAATGTCAGCCTTCTTCAGAGCAGGAGCATCATTAACTCCATCACCAGTCATTCCACAGATATGTTTCCTAGCTTGCAAGCGCTTTACTATCTCATATTTGTGCTCTGAACAAATAAAAACCACAATAAGCCAAAAAAATACAACCAACAACCTGCGAGAGAACATGTTGGGGGTACCACAGTAACATTTTAAATTCCTGTCAGGCCTATTTCAGATCTTACTAAAGAGCACCTGAACAAACATAAAAAAGGCATACCAGGGAAAACACCAGCAAAACCGTCAGCTTTCTCTATGAGCTCATCAATAGGTAAAGCAACAATAGACTCATCCTTGTTCTGTCCCAGCAAAGCAGAGGAAGGATACATGTTGGTTCCCATCCCCAAGCGACGTCCAGTTTCCTTTGCTATTGCCAGTTGATCCCCTATAGAGGTTTCAGAGTTCAGAAATTGGTACATAAACCTGACTACTCAAAACTTGTCGCACACAATTCTGAAATGAGATGGGCAAACAGCCAGGAAAATAATAAATAATACATATATAAGGGCAAGTTTCAAAAATCCATATTGTAACATAATGAATGTTATCCACCAAATCAGATACTTCATGTTTTCAGAGGGAGGCAAACATTGTATTACTCCACACATACATTTTCTCTCTCTTTTATTATAAAAGAAAAGAAATTTTTATTAGAGGAATGAGAATGCTAAGATGGATGATACAAGCGACTAGAAGTGAGAATTTTTTCTTTTAGAAATTCCTAGGAGAGATAGGATAAAAAATCAACATGTGAGGAAAAAATTAGGAGCGACACCTATTAGTGATAAAATAAGAGAAAGCTTGCTTAGGCGAGATGGACATTACAAGGCAGACCAGAAGATGCACCAGAATTTTTTCTAATCACTGTAAAACTTCAAATATAATGGGACACATGGCTTGTAATATAAAAGAATGGAGAAAATGGAATTCATGTGACTGACCCCATTTATATGGGATGAAAGTAAGGACGGTGATGAAAGTAAGGATGGTGATGGTGATGGTGATGGTGATGGTGATAAAAGAAAACTACAAGACAAGTATATCTAACTCAAATTCATTAGTCATACATTCAAATTAAAGATGGCCCTCCTTGATAAACATGGAGAAGGAGCAAAAGATAAAGTCAGCATTCCCTACTCTAAGATCTTCACAACCAAGTACCCCAAATAGAAGAAAACCAATTTTCCAAGTTCTACCTCCAGCCAATAAATACCAAGATGAAGCATACAATGAATAAATATTTTAAACGCAAAACATATCTGATTACAAGAAAATTACTTTTAAATGGAACTCTAAAATTTAAGCAATGCACTTTTAGTTATCCAGGAGGGCAATCCTAGGTCACTTTAAGGCCATGGCATAATATGGAGTCCACCAAAATACTGACACCACTTGATATGTGTATCAAGTGCGGGTGTGTGTTTTAAGTGCAGGATCTTCCTAATTCCCTAATCCAAGGATACAGGAAAATGTGTCCAAAAGTAAGATACAAGTACGTCGACTCATCCTACACATCTAAATAGAAACTAAATTATACGAAATATAATAGTGTACTATATGATATTATTGTTCTTCAAGGATAAACTCTATCATAATTTCAATTGAATGGGAGGCAATGAGAAAAGGGATTCCCTTCTATCTCCCTTCTTTACTATCAAATTCGAAATCTTCTATTTTCTTCAATCATCAAATTTGGAGGGTTGGGGTATCTGATTTGGTTTCATGTGCTAGACACATATCATATACCATACTCATGTCACGTCAACATGGATGCCAAATTTTGTTTCCATGTATAAATATAAAGTATAACTGGAAGATTTTCAAGCAATATACAGATTCCATTGTACTTTTTCCCACTAACTTACATGGGATGCTGTTTTTGATGCAATATAATCCCTCGGAGATGTTATATCATCCATTTTACATAGTGATTGAAAGATCATTCTTTCAATATCCCAGAAGTATAATTGAAACGCGTCTGGCCATTTAGAATACGTCATCCTTCCAAATTTCACATGTTCAACACTAACACTAATTTCATAATTTAAACCCATAAAGCCAAGGAATATATGGGGATTTAATAGCTCTCAAGCACCAAGATCATCAATTCATTTCAAATCATTAGACAATGTTTATCAAATAAAGAAAAAAAGAACAAAAAAAGGAAACTTGAAAAAAAAAATCAAAATTAGTTGAATGTGCACCATGCATCGATTATATATCCAGGCCAAGTCAAATGATGACAACAGTAAGCCAAAAAAAAAGAGTCAACGATACAATAATTAATTTATATCATCATGGTTTACCAGTTTAGCGAGCTTTGATTATCCACTACAAACTGTACGGAAAAAGTTATATTAATAATGACCACCAAAGGCAAGACGTGAAGTGGCAAGATATAAACAAGATTCCTGTTAAAAACAAATTGCAAAACTTATCCTGTATTTGGTGGTTCACTAAATTAAAGTAAAAGCAAGTCTTCTGGTCCAGTGCATGGCATAAAGCAACTAAATGGACCATTTATCTTTAAAGCAATCTAGGCATGATGAATGGGAGAAATATGTAACTTCTCATGATAACAATGTCTAAAAGAATTATCATTCAGTCGCATGCAAAAGCATATTATATTAGCTTTAAGCATCCCCCTTTGATATTGTAGCAAATTGAATTACAGCATACAAGCCAAAAATTTAAGACCGCAAAACATAATGCACCTGTAATCATTTTAACATTCACTCCTAGATTTAAAGCCCTTCTTATTGTCTCTGCACTATCATGCCTGGGTGGGTCAAAGAGAGGCATGAGACCAATAAACTTCCATGGGCGTCCAGAACTCTCTTTCCTTCCCTCCGGGACTTCCTGCATTAAAAGGAAGGGTTTGCCATATCAAAAATTGCAGAATCAATAAAATAAAATCAATTCCAGTTATTAACATTTCATATGATAAATAAAGGGATTGTGAATGAGAATTAGAAACCCAGTTACCTGGTATGCTACGGCAAGTGACCGCAAACCTCGCTCTGCAAACTTATCGATCACAGCATGAACCCTACGCTCTATGTCTGACTTATTGTGCACAAGATTTAGAATCTAAAAGCCATATTTAAGGCAGGAATTAGGATGAGAAATTGACAAACAAAGGTACAAGCCAATAAAGCTGGAAAGTATGAACCTGCTCTGGTGCACCTTTGCTGACCCTATGCATTTTGCCTTCGCTGTCAAAATAAGTCAATGCTGTTCTCTTATCTGTAGGATTGAAGGGAAGGAAGTGTACCTCTTGAATGCCAGCACGTGCCTGTCAGCAGTGATAATTACCAAAGAAAAGAAGTGACTTAAGTGAAAGCATCAAGAGCAAATACATTACCCAGAAAGATTCTTTTATCAATCAAGTACCTCCTTTGGATCAGCAAGTGTCCCAACTATAGCAGCGTCGATTGCATCCTGGTTTTCTGTTCGGGAGGCTTGAGCTGCCATCAGAACAACAGTATCGGCATCAATTCCTTTGGAAAAAACCTGAGAAGATAAATTCAGGCTCACATTTAGAACAAGAGTCAATAAATGTCTCGCAGAAAGAGATGCACATATTCTCAGCAAATGGTGGCAAATGACCTCAATAAGATTCTTGTCAACAGTAAGCTTGTTCAACGTCAGAGTTCCAGTCTTGTCGCTGCAAAGCACGTCCATACCTGCCATCTCTTCTATAGCTGTCATTCTCTTTGTTATAGCTCCCTGAAGTCATTATTCAAATATTTTGTCAAATACATCAACAAACCAGAGCCAAACCAAAACAACCAAGGAACCTAGCCAACCTGCTGAGCTAAGCGATGAGAACCAATGGCCATTGTTACCGATAGAACTGTGGGCATTGCAATTGGAATTCCCCCAATGAGAAGCACAAGAAGATTGTCGATCCCTGGACGATACTTCCGGCGTTGAATGGGGTACATCACGACAATTTCTATAATCATCCCCACAGCAATGGAACAAATGCAAAAATTTCCTATTGCAGTCAAGACCTAATAAAATCAAGAAGTAATATAATGGAATTAAAATTGAGGCCTAAAAGAATATAGCTAATCCAGAACAAATGCATTGCATTTCAACTTCCTTGCCTTTTGAAAGTGTCCCACTTGGTTAGTGCTATCAACAAGGTGTGCCGCCTTCCCGAAGAAGGTGTGAACCCCAGTGGCAATGACAATGGCTTCAATCTCTCCTTGTTTGCAAGTAGAACCAGAGTAAACACCATCTCCAGGGCTTTTTGTTACCGGAAGGGACTCTCCCGTCAGAGCAGACTGCAAAGACAATGTCAGTTACCTCCCTAAAACTTGAGCAATCTAAGATAAATATATGATGCGGACCAATGGTACCTGATCAATTTTCAATGGATCACCATCAAGAAGACGAGCATCTGCAGGAATTATATCACCGAGTTTTATACTAACTATGTCTCCTGGCACTAAGATAGAAGCATCTTCTTCGTTCCATCTTCCATCTCGAAGAACCTTTATAACAATACAATTGAAAATGAAACCAACTTAAAACCACAGGTATGCACACTAGCAAATTAAAGTGGAACCATTAATTCACCTCCCATACCTTCATTGAATGACAAGCAAATATCACAAATTTAGAACCCAGACATATAATGACAAGCAAATATCATGAGTAAAATCTAAGATTATAAAAACAAGCAAATGTCACAATTATATCTAACACCTTGGCTTTAGGAGCGAGACGAGCCATGAGAGCAGCTGCCGCATTGCCAGCATTGTTTTCCTCAATAAAACTAATGGTCGAGTTAATAATAAGCAAAGTAATGATACCCACAAAGTCTTGCCAATCAGGAGGCTTTCCCTGCAAAAAAATTGAAACCCATAATTCAAAAAGTTCTTGAAAAATGAAATACTCTCATGCTTCACTGGAAATTGTATTGAAAAAACTTTGTTAAAATTTTGTACTAATTTTCCTCCAATTGCCAAGACACCAATTCCACACTACCAAACATAGTTTCAAGAAAAATGCTAGATGAATCTAAAAAACAAGTTCTTACTCCTCCATTGGCAAGGGCAATTGCCATAATAGCAGCAGCTTCCATAACCCATGAAAGAGGGTTCCACATAAACCCCAAAAACTTCAAGAATTTTCTCTCCTGAAACACAATATACAGATGAAATTTTGTGGATACAAAAGGGTTAACACCAGAATTACAGTTCAAAGGGCTGAAATGCCACCCTCAACCCCAATCCCCACCAAAAATAGACTAATAGAAACACACAAACAGATGTGTGTGTGTGTGTGTGTGAGAGAGAGAGAGAGAGAACAGTACATTAAAGAGAAAATGTCAGAAGTGTTGGCATCAGAATTACAGTTCAAAAGAAGTAGAATACTGGAAATGAAATAAAGGAAATTAGAGAAAAAGTCATTACTTTCTTCTCCTCAAGCTTGTTGTGCCCAAAAAGATCTAATCTTTGTTGAGCAGCTTCACTGGTGAGACCCTCTTTGCTACATCTCAGATTCTCAAAAACCTCCTCAATGGGTATGTTTTCCTGCACTCACAGAGTTCAAATCCATCAACCCAAATCAACATTTAAACAAATTCACGTATAACAACCAACACAAGCACAAATCAGCTCTCAGATCCATTACCAAATCCACAGTTTCTTTCAACACAGCCTCAAGAACTTCAGACTTCTCTGCCATCTTCCTCTCTCTCTTTTTCCACACTCTCTTTCTATTTCTCTCTCTAACTCACACTCCCCAACTCACTCTCACCATTAAAACAATTGTAAATCAGGAAACATTTGAGAACCACCATGAACAGACAGACCCTGAGAGCAACAGAAACTTGCAATACACACAGTGACACCAACGACTAGGAGTAATGAAAACTTGATTTGGAAGAACGATTTGGTTCAGAGACCAAAATGAGGTACCCACCCACCAACAGCAAATCTACAAGAAGTGGAACCGCTGAAAGAGTAGTAACAGTTACGGTCCATTACCTTTTGTATTTTTCATTCTTTGCTAAAAACAAAAATAAATAAATAAATAAATGATAGTAATAAATTTAATAATAAATATATAAATAACAACCACCCAGTGCCCCTCGTAATGCTATCAGTTTAATTTGGCCTAATAAATCAAAAAAGAAAATAGAATATAAAAGACATTTTATATGCAACAAATTGTTAACGTAGTTAAAATTCATGTTTTTTAGTAGTTATCCCAATGATAGATTAAAATTATGATGCCTTCCAAAATCACGAGTACTTCACCCTAAAAATTCATGCTTTTTAATAAAAAAAATAAAAAAAAATTAGACCAATATAGCGGATAAAACATGAGTCAGCCAAATGCCAATAGGTACGCAAAAATAATAAAAAATAAAATGAATTTTCTCCCTTTTATTTTACTTTTTATGACCAAAAAAATCCTTTAAGGCATCATTTATGTCAGTCAAACAGCCCTTATCAAAGTGTCTTACACTGTTATATGCAAAAAAAAAAAAAAAAAAAAAAAAAAAAAAAAAAAAAAAAAAGAATTTATATGCAAAAAATAATAATAATAAAAAAATTAAAATTAAAAATGAATTTTCTCCCTTTTATTTTACTTTTTATGCCCAAAAAACGAAACTCTTTGGGTCGGTTGTGTTGAGATGGAAAAAAAAAAAAAAAAAAAAGATCCCAAAAAAAAGTGATTTTTGGGACTTTTTTCAGCCAAATACGTCCTTAGACCAGGGCTACAGTAAATTGGGTCAACAAAAAATTAAAAAAAAACAGGTAGGCCTACGCATGCGAGCCCGTGAAATGGGTCGCCAAAATCGCCCAATTTTGCTCCAATTGAGTTGCTCTAACTCTAATGCTTTGTTCGGTTGGAAGTACGAAAAAATAAATGGAAGAGATAGGATGAGAGATTCCTAAGGAAGAGAGGGTGTCTTTCCCATTTTATATTTGGTTGAATGAAATAGATAGTAGAAATAATGAATGGAGTAATACTTTTTTCTTATTTGGTTGGAAGGAAGGGAAGGAGAGTTCTTATATTATTTTTACCAATATACCCTTTTTATAATTTTATATAAAAGGTAGATATTTATTTCAAAAATTTTGAAAAGATTAAAATTATAAATTATCAATTCATAGGTAGTTATGCCTCCTTTCTCTCTTCTCCTCCCCCAAACGTAAGCAGATAGAAAAACATAAAGAAAGGAGGGATGAGGCATCCCTCCTTGTTTCCTCCCTCTCTTCTCTTCCCTCTAACCAAACACGAAAATATTCATCCATCTCTTCTCTCATCCATTTCCCCTCAATCCTTCCCTCCAACCAAACATAGCATAAGATGCATTTTATTATCATGTTTGTAATTTTTTTTAGGAAAATATATAAACACACAAAAAATAATAATAATAATAAATCAATTAAGGCACTCTATTTCTATTAATAATAACTACATTCAAGAATACGTACTGGTGTACATATAATTACTTCCCATCAAAAATCAATAAATTTTATTTCACTACCATACAAATCCATACATTCGCCTAAGGATTAAAATGATTTTTTTTTTTTTTTTGGTCACTTGTATGTGCATGTTTACACTATATATATATTTTTTACGAAATTAAAGAGGATAGATAGCAAAGAATGAAGATAATGTATATTGTGTTTGTTTAAGAAACGAGGAAAGAAAAATATAGGTATGTGTGTGTATATATATATATATATATGAAGGAGTAAGGGACCTAATAAAGTATTTTGGCTAATTTTCGATCAAAGGTAATTATATGTTTTGCCTCTACTATTAAATATATATATATATATATATTTATTGGGAAATTGTTGGGGAGGAAGTGTCTTTCGCTATAATAAAATAAAATTGCTAATGGTAGAACTCTTAGGGAGATTAATGCAACCTATCTTGCTTTAAATATCTCTAATATAAGATTCCTAATCCTACTTCCCCAAGTGATTTTATGCCTTTTTCTTATTGTAATATTTTGTACAAACACATTTCCATACAAACTAAAACCCATCTTGCCCAACATCATTGGCAAAGCTCAGAGTGCCTTGGTCAAGGGAGGAGATTGGGAACAACTTAATATTTAGAGGGTATCATAGAAATTTGTATCCTACTAGATGTACACTGAAGGCTGATCTTTATAAAGCTCATCATTTATCAATTGGAAATCTATTAAGAAAATTCCAATCCTTAAATTTACTGGGTTTCTAGTTGCATATATACTGCCTCTTTTTCTGTCTAAGATATTGGTGAACTGTGTGGATTTTTGGACAGTGTCAACGGTATTAGGCAAGGTGAACCTTATTTTACTTTGCCTTTTTGGGATTACTTTTCATCTATCATTCATAAATGTATTAGAGACAACCCCAACTTCATTTTTTATTGAAGTGTAAAGGCATCAAATTGTTTCATTTTTAGGGATGGCAATTTCTGCTGACCCACTGAGTTTTCGAACGCTCCACCCCTAATGGGGGATTTGGTAGACCCTTAAATGGAGTTAGGGCGGTCATGGTATTTAAAATTAAATTTGTATCGGGTTGGGGCAAGGGCGGATTTAGTGTTGAACCCTCTCTAAACCCGATTAATATATATATATATATATTAAAATACATACATGCCATTTAAAATGTTTAAATATTTCTATACTACCCTTTCTTATATATAATCCCAATTAATAATTATGTGTGATCAATTTTCACTAAGGTGTTATTTGATAAAACTAAAAATTAAGTTTTAACCCAAAAAAAAAAAAAAAAAAAAAAAAACCGAAAATTAAGCACTAAAAATTTCAAGTACTGAATAAGCGTTGAATGTATTAATTTGAAAACCTGTTTGCTAACGTTTTAATTATAAGCGTTAAATTCATTAAGATTGTTTATTATATATACAAAAGTTGAAGTCTAAAAGTTGTACATATTGCATTTTTTCCCTCAAAATCTGATACTCATAACAGTTTTATATTTATAATACAAAAATATTAATAAAACAACTACATTCACTCAATGAAATATATCAATTTAACAATGAATATTAATGTCAAATCTAATAATAAAAAAATATAAATTCAAACTTAAATAACTAACATTATTCAAGCAGTACTCATTAAAAATGTGAACATTTCAAAGATTAAAGAAAATACATGAAAAAGAATTCTAATTTAGGAATAAAATTTTATTATATAAATAATTTATGGAAATTTTAAATCTATTGGTTTTGAATTACATAATATTTATGTAGGTATGGTGTTACATAAATTAAAGAAAGTTAAATTAAAAATATATGTGTTTTGATTACATAATATTTATGTAGGGTTTTGAAAAATATGTTACAAAAATTAAGGAAAGTGAAAAAACATTCTTATCTAAGAACATAATTCAATTCTATAAATAATTAATGAAAATTTAAAATATATAGGTTTTGGATATCAAAAGAATGTTACAAAAGATTAAAGAAAGTAAAAATTAAAATATATGAGTTTTGGATTACATAGTAGATATTGAAAAGAGTGTTAAGAAAGTACGTGAAAGACAATTCTTCTCTGATAATAGAATTATATTATATAAATAATTACATAATATATATGTAGGGTATAAAAATGGTGTTAAAAATATTTTAAAAAATACGTGAAATTGAATAAAATTCTATTATATAAATAATTGTTTTCTATAGAAATTGTAAAGAGGCTCTAAAGAAATCGCAGAGAGAAACCCTAAAAGAAAGAACGTGATTATATGAGGGTAAAGTAGTCATTTAAAAGTTATTTTTTAAACCCAACCATTTACCTTCTTCTGCAATAAGCAATAAGCGATAAGCAACCTTCTCCACGCTTAAAATTTTGGCCTCTTTTAAACGGTACTTATCATGTTAAGCGGCATCCTAAAATTTTATCAAACAAACTTATTTTTAAAATCACTTACCGTATTTTGCATTCAGCGCTGAATTAAGAAATCAAATAGATCATAAGTTATGAAAATAAAATAAAAAATTTCACTTAGTCATGTCACGTGGCAGATGGTGCCATTAAACAAAAGGATTGGTACTCCGTTTGCCCCGCCAGAGTGGAGATCATATATCGATTAAAAACTCGTCTCGAAGTAGGAGCGGAGTTGAAATGGATGATCTTCTTATGCAGTAGAGTAAAATTTAGCCAAATCCATCCCAAACCCGCCTCATTGGCATCCCTATTCATTTTTCTTTTGTTGATTCATAGAAACCTTGTCTTTACCAATTCTTTCAAAAAAGCTCTTGATATATTCTCCTCTATTGCTGGACTCTCCCCAAATCCAGCCAATAGTCTCACTCTTTTTGAAGGGGTGGATCATTCTTTTAGAGCATCCATTTCAAATTCCCTAGGCCGCCCCACTGGTAGTCTCCCTCTAAAATACCTAGTTATCCCACTCATTTCTACTAGATTAGCTTCAAAAGATTGTCAATCCATTAGTGAGAGAATTCTAGATCAATTTACTAACTAGTACAACAAAGCCTTATCCTTTGCAGGTTGGCTTCACTAATCTAATCTACCCTCAGCTACATTCACAACTATTATAATAATATCTTGATTTTACCATCCAAAGTCATAGCTTAAATCAATTAAATTAATCATTTTCATGTTTCTTTGGTTTGGACTATAATTGATTAAAGGTAAAGCTAAAGTTTTTTTTTTTTTTTTTTTTTTCCCCTAGTTGGTACTCACACACACTTGTTTTTTCTGAAACTTGAACCTTTGACCTCCTTTTGGGTACGAGATTGATACCACTAGGCCACTGGCCCGTTCATGGTAAAGCTAAAGTTCCATGGAAAGAAGTGTGCAAGCCTAAGATGGAAAAAGGTTTGGGAATTGCCGATATAGAAACTTGGAATATAGTTTTTGCACACATATGGTTTCTATTCACTAATCCTGATAATATTTGGTTGATTGAGCCTACAAATACCTAGCTAATCAATGAAAAAAAAAATTTAATTAAAATTAAAAAT